TTTTTTTGTTTTCGTCTTTTCCTCTGTTAATGTTCTTCCTTCTCCATTCTGTCAGACCTAAAACAACATCAATCACTTCCTGTGCGGAAACGTTGCCGGGCAACACAACAGAAAAACATGGCTACCCTGAGAAAAACAGTCACCTTGAATGTTCATCAACCCTTTGTTTTTGGGCGTTATCCAAGTTCCAGACAAAGAGAACAAAGAAAGGATGATAATAATGGATGGATCTTATTATACTGAATATATATCAATTAATCTACTATGAAATATATTTTCTTTGGGGCCACTCGCTCACATGTTTTTCGCTCAGTTTATACTTCCGAAGATAAAAAACATTGCGCTTGTGCTCAAGCTCACAGGCTGAATGCTAACAGCGCGCTAACACGTGGTTAGATTAGAAATCGTACACTGAACCAAGAAATTGGTAGTATATATATAACAGTGGGTACGACACTGATTTAAAGGGACTGAAGAAACATCGCAACCAGTCTTATCAAAATAGTTCGTTTTTAGATATTTTGAAATTAGCGTCTACAGGCAGGCTAACAAATGTTTTAAGCTAACATCCTGACAATGACAATGTTGTAGTTTGCTTAATTTGAATTGGTCAGATATTTACTCATTCTTAAACGGAGTAATTTAAAATTACCATCTGTGTCACATGACCACTGACCAAATCCACTGGACATCTTTGTCCCTTAATGGTTAGCATTTTAACTATTTAGGTTACATTGCGTAAAAATAATGTAGTTTGTTATGACTGATATGTTTTGAAAAATATGTATTAAAGTTGTTAAATGGGCATTTTTTGTCATGTGTTATTGGGTTAAAAAAATATAAAAAATATCAGTATTGGTATTGAAAAAAATTGCCCAAAAAGTCATCCATATTGTATTGAATCAAAAATTCTAGTCACTAATGTGTATAAAAATATTTTTAATAATTATAATTGTTAAAAAAAAAGTAGTTCTGAGTGTCAAAAAAATTCAACAGCCGTGTGTATCTAATAAAAAAAAAAGTAAACACTGAGTGAATTATTTCATTACTGTGAGTGACTTTAATTAAATTGTCTCTTTAAAGCTGGTCACTCTTGCCTCTCCTCGCCTTTAATAAACAGACGTTTTCTGTCTGTTGTGGATGACGCCAAACACGAAGGAATGTTAAGAGTATTTTTTTCATGGGTCTCCATATTTTATCGCTGTTCTTGCAAGAACATGCCCCGCTTCCTGTTTTCGTGCCCAGAAGTAGACTAAGAAGGAAATTTCCTGCTTTCATCAATCTGGTAACATTCCATTCCAAAAACATAAGGAGATACGTTTTTTTTTTTTAAATAGATGTAAATATATACCTTTTGCAATATATTTACAGCTGTAAAGTATTAAAAACGTGATTTTTCTACATTTAAAAACCAGGATAGAAACGGAGTTAAAATGGCACAAAATGAGGATTGTTTTGAAGAAGTGCGCACAGAGTCAAACACTCACAAAGGCTCTTTGTGCGAAACGGATTTTCTGGCTCTGAGTGCTGTGAGATGATGTCAGTGAAATGCACAAAAAAAAATCACATGTGCAAATCCAAGAGTGAAATGTACAACGCCGCGTGTGTATGCTCAGCGTGCGGTCACACGTGAGAGTGAGAGAGACAGAAACATCGAAAATAACTTTGATTGTTCGGGGGGGGGGGGTTATCCTGAGAACGTCTGTAGAAATGATGAAGCCTTCCTGAGACAGGAGGCTGTGATGGGAAAGGAAGGGCGGGGCTTTGACTCACGAACAGTGACGCCGAGGCTCAAGTGTGTGAACCAGAAACGGCCTCCTGTCCTGCCCGACTTGACGAGACCAAATTCAAAAAAAGGTTCACCCTTGAAACGTTCCCGGGCGTATTTCCGGCACCATCAGGGAAGTCTGCGCTCCGTCTACTGCATCCTGAAGACATCGCTCACCTCTGTTTTTTACGGCAAAACACGTCAAGTCGTTGGGTACATGTGCGTGTGTGTGTGTTTGATAATAACGCTCTAGAACGCGCACACACACCCAAACACACTGTATATATTGTCCATAGAGTCAGATAACCCAGGGTGAACTGTTGGGTAATGGAAGGAAAAGCTCAACGAGCCAAAGTCAACACATGCTGCTCCGTCCTCAGCACAGTCAGCTGGTTTTTATAAAACACACACACACACCCTTTCTGTCTCTTGTGATAACGGCCAAATAGGACAGCGAACACAAGGAGGCATACAAAAAAAGACCGTAGTGGGCAGAAACAACTTTCGCAAAAAAGGCAAAAGTTCCAATTTTTTTTTTGTTAATTTAACATGTGGATGAAACTAAAACATGATTTGAAGTGTGTAAGTGTGTCAGTATTCTTACATGGTTGTCACAGTTCTGGATTGGGCTGAAAACAGGGGAGCCTCCTGGACTGCACAGCTCGGGGAAAGGGTTAGGAATGGCAGGAAGTGAGGCTGGGCGAAGCTGCTGCTGTTCCTGCAAGCACCTGCAGAGGGAGACAAATGCATTTGTGTCACGCTGGTCTGAACATTTAAAAAAAATAAAAAAATAACACCAACCTTAGATCAAGTTAACCCTCCTATTATCCATGATGGATGTTTGAAAATTTGAGGGTAAGAGGAGGGTTAAAGTTGAAGGTTTGTAAATGTAGTAAATCATTGGTGTTTTAAGTTGTTTTCATCAATAGATAAAGGTTCAAATGCAATGTTTCTATCATCTTACCTTTGAGTACCATTGTAATATTCAAAAAAAAGAAAAAAATTAAAAAGGATTAATACCTCTAGGTCAGGGAGTGTCAAACATACGGGCCAAAACCGGCCCACTAGGGTATTCAATCTGGCCCACTTGATTAATTTTGAAAATAAAAAAATGCTTCATGTTCAGGATATTTTTTGTAAAATGATTATTATTTCATGAAATATGGATAAATAATCATAATAAATATATAATATACTTGTACTTTTTTGCATGGGAAAACCAGTGGAAAACAGCAGGAAAACATGGACTTATTGTAATTTATACTTTATTACGGTAGTGATTGTACTGGTCCGGCCCACTTGACATGTAATTAGGTTCTATGCGGCCTACGACCCAAAATGAGTTTACCACCCCTGAGTCTGGGGTCTTAAAGTGGCACACGTGGCAACCTTATATTTGAAGGTGTAAATAATATGTATCTTATTTAACAGATTTTTTTGAAGATATTTTTTTTTTTTAAATCATGATTAATCCACATCTACCCTGAGATTCAAATCGTAATAATTTTACAGCTCTTTCTGAAACAAGCACTGAAATCATCAGCAGGTGGTGCGTATCTACGTACCTGACAGCCTGAATGTGCATGGGCTGAGACTGACGCAGCCTGTCCCTGGACGAAGAGGAAGGCGGCCCGGCCGCAGTCTGTCGGCGCTGCGCTTGGCTCTGTGCGGCGTGGTGCACATGCACCCTGGGCTGGTTTTGGTGGTGGTAGTTTGGCGTGTGCATGTGACCGTTGCTCAAGAGCAGCGCGGTGTCATCCTGGGCAGAGTACACGTTCTCGATGGACGAGTTCATGTCATTCACCAGCTGCTCCAGGTCCACGTCATCATCTGAGGAGACAAGCGGTGCAGAGGGAGGGGAGGGAAGGGGGGAGGATGGAGGGAGAGGTGAGTGACAGTGGTATGGCAACAAATAACCACTAGGTGTCACTTACTGAGGGGATAGTTTGGACAGATGTGTGTGTCAGTGTGTATATATATATATATATATATGTTGGAGAGGGTGAGAGGGAGGGGGGAGAGGGTTCTGCTACAGCTATACTCGGTCAAATGTTTTCAAATGTTCCCGCCCCCCCACGAGGACAAAGTGTCCTTTTTCAGGTTCCCACTGAGAGAGAGGGTGTTTTGAGGCTCAATATTTAGTTTGGAGTTAGCGTTAGAATCCGGCTCACATTGGAGTTGGGATAAGGATAAAGATTTGACATGTATTGGAAAGAGTTAAGAGTTTAGAGTTAGGGGTCAGCTCAAGTTGGTGTGTATGTGTGTGTGTGTACCCCTGTTATCAGTATATATAAGTGTGTATCACTTCTGTTTCGTTGGGCTTACATGGCAACTTTTCTTGTTTTGATTTGCATTACTGCCACCTGGTGGGTCTAGTCGCCACAGGTTTACATTTTTCACTACTTTTTTTTTTTCCAGTTCTTATTTCTTCTTCTATTAAAAAAAAAAAGCAGACAAACATTCTGCTATTTGAATTCCAGATGGGATTATTTTGTATTTTTCTGGAGCTATTTTGAATTGTACTGAAAATTCCTGCATTAAAGGAGAACGCCTGGTACACCGAGTTAGTGGTCAACTGCAGCACACAGGGTGGAACACTTTGTGCTGTCCGGCTGGGCATTATACAATAGACACACACACAATTCCTGAAATTCCAGTGGAAAGAAATTACAGCACTTGTGAAACATTCGCCAGCCTGGTCAAGGCTCGTGGTGACCAAGTGATCAAGACATGCACACACACACACACACACACACAGTCTGGATGTTGTGAGGACTTCACATAGACATAATGCATTCCCTAGCACTTTATGTTAGGGTGAAGGGGTCAAAGCAAAAAACAAAGCATTTTACCAACGTCTCCGTAAGGATAGCTAAACGGCATATGCGTACAATTCAGGTCCTAAACCTCAGCTTTAGCAGTGCTAATTAGCATGTGCTTGTACCAACGGCTAACAAAATCCATGCAGCTTTCAACACAACCGACTCTCTGTTACTGAAACGTCCCGCCGTGGGTATTCATAAACACTAACATGCACACGGAACGGACAGTCTGGGACATAAGGTCATGTGCCGCTGGGGTTCACGGGTGGTGCATAGGACGTGCGAGGTATGCAAAGGGGCGGGACACAGTTGCAAAAGAACAAGAGAGCACGCGAGGACAGTCGGCGACAGTAGTAGCGTTACGTAACGCAGCGATGTACGGCGAGGCCGCTTCACTGCACAACGTCCAACAGTTCAAACAGGAAAAGCACCGGCGTCGTTCACAATAATAACGACAATGGTCCCATTCAGCGGCCTACGTCCTGGTGTGACACTCTCAGACGACAATCGCAGGAACTGCTGAGGGAAATATTACCGAGCACTTCGCGCGCTAGGAGTTGCGGAGTTGTTTCGCCTGGGGTGAAAATTGTTTCATGTGACATTCATTTATCAGGGAACATAAAACGGTGGTCTCAGAAAGTTCGGGCTTTACATTTATATTTTCAGTCATCCCAGGAGTTATAAAAATATCTTTGGGACATGAAACCAGGAAATGTCACCAAGTGCTTTATGGCAGTGTTAGCTACACCACTCTGGGGAATGAGAAGTCGGTCTTGCCAGTCCACTGCTTCTAACCAGAAATGGAGTTAAAGGACTCTGGTGATCCCCCAGTCATTTCTTCTCGTGCCACTGAGTTCATTTTTGTGGCTTTGAGGATGTTTAAACAACAAACAGATGGATCGCCATAGAATTTGGTAAAAAAAAAAAATTTAAAAAAAGAAAGAAAAAAGGCATTTCTATTTTTCTTAGGATAATTTATGACACCATATTAAACCCTCTGTCTGCAGATTTTTTACACTATACGTTACGTTCGGCAGATTTATATCGAGGTTTATGACAATCTGTCACACAAAAGCTGAGGCATGTAAACAAACAAGACTGGGGATGAAAGACAAGCGCACCGTGCACACACAAAAATACACTCGCTCTTTGTTGTTCGGCTCGTCCTTAAGCAACCAATTTAAAGTGGAGGAAAGCGAAATGCAAAACAACATGGTGTGAGCACAGCAGCGAGTTAATCACAACTGTGGCTCCACCAGCTCTTCCCAACGCTTTTGATTAATGCTGAAAACCTGAACTGAAGTTTTCCCTCTCTCCCCACCATTTCATGCTTGGCTGACAATGCACTGCTGGCCTTGGTAGAGGAAACCGCAGTATGGGACATATAGCATTAAAATGTCCTGTCCTCTCTGTCCAACTGTAAGGGACGCCAGCAGCAGTATGGCTTCCATCTGACAACAAAACCTCCAATACAACTGTGGCCAGTTCCTTCCTGTGAGATCCCAGAATACACAGAATGAGTCCCTGGCCACGACAACCAGCAATCATCTATCTCTGACAGCAGTCTAAACATCAGACGAGAAACGGTTGTTCTGCGCGCTCCTGTTGCGTCAGTTGCGCTGTTCGAGTAAACACAAACTATATTTCTGTGAAAAAATGATTTGCTGCATATATATATGTCCAAGTATATGTATATATGTGTGTGCATTAGTTGTGTATGTATATATGTACGTTTATATATGTATGTATATATGTATGCGTATGTACTGTACATATATGAATACATGTATATATGAGTATCAGTTGCGTATTTCAAGTAAATACAAACTATATATACTAACTATATTTCTTAAAAGATTATTCGCTGCATATATATGTATATACGTTTATATATGTATGTATATATGTATCTATGTGTACATATATATGTATATATGCATGTGTGTATTAGTTGTGTGGTTTTTCCTGCATATATGTGTATATATATGTTTATATATGTATGTAAATATGTACCTATGTGTATATATGCATATATGTATGTGTGTATCAGTAGTGTGGTTCATGTAAATACACACTATATTTATTTGAAAATATATTTGGTACATATATGTGTATAAATATATTTATATATGTATGTATATATACATATATACTTATTAATCACAATCAATAGCCATTTCAATATGACTCCAGCTTTGTCACTTAACATTTCATGTCACAACGTTCTGGTTGGTAACGACCAGTGGAAGCCTGTCATGTTCATACCTTTTACAGACTTCTGCTTACACAGTGTAATTACACAATGGCCGTTTTTCAAAATCACACACCTCCTGCTTTCTAATTATCCCCTCACAAGTTCACCTAAGCCTTTATGATGATTTACGGTAGGGACACGGCTGAGCCAAATATTTAGATAACGCTACACTAACATTTTGAGGCTCAACGTTTGTGACTTTCGGTGAAACGCACAATTATTCGGTTTAAATATATCATCCATTCAAACAAAATGATTGGGTTTTTCTGCGAGAGGAGGCGAAAAAAGTCACGTCATACTTTTACTCTAAGTGTGTGTACGAGATTGCCTCTTCATAGATGAAAGTTACTGTCACTCGCAGTGAAAGATTTGGATTAGAAAAAAAATCTTACTGGTCTGAGAATCTGCTGTAAGAGCAGTCACAACCAAATATTGAATTTCTTTAATTATGGGAACAAGGAGGGGAAATTGAACCAAAATGAGTTTGACACCGCTGGTTTAGACACTTGAAATGTGATGTAACGGCTCTTGATTTTGCAGTGGGAGCTCTAGAGTCCGGCAGCATCATCGGTGAGCATCTGTGCACATTAGAAAAATCTGCTTTTAAATGAATATAACATAATGACACGTTGAGTCAGGAGTAGTCTAAACATGACATTTGAGGAATTCTCAATAAAATGAACATGAAGATTATCATAAGATCTTTATGTAGCAGTGAGTTTGTTGGCTATACTTGGCTACAAAAGGGCCTCTCAAATAAATTCATCCTCGGAGAACTCGAAACACACCTTCTCAATATCACTCTTGCATTGTTGTTGCCCCGTATGCAAGTTTGGATCGGCGTGTTATCACACCAACCCTTCCAGGCCTAAGGTCTGTTTACTAAACACTCCCTGACTCCAGAGTGACCCGCAGGTCTAAACCCCGAGCTATCTGGTATATCCTCACATGAGCATTGCCAACACACACAACTTGAGCTGTCAATCCACTGAACAATTAACCCTGGAGAGAGGGGGCGAAGCAAAAACAACACCGAGGAGGTAAGAATTTACTACCTCTCCTCTCCACTTCTGGGCTTTGGACATTCTCCATAAGGATTCCCAGGATTTTTTCACGATGGCTAAAGAGCTTTCTGGGAATCTATTGGAGGGAACAGTCATGCATGTGTAGTGGGTGGAGGGTTAGGGGGAAAAAAGTGCTGAGCAGTGCTGAAAAGAAAAAAAAAAGAAAAAAAAAAAAGAGGTAAAACACTTTAGCACTTGTCTATGTCCTCTCCATCTGGAGAGCAGAGCTTGCGGCGAAGAAGGGAGACAATGTTCTAGATAGGAATTAGGATTGGGGGATTGGGAAGCATATTTGACAAGGACCCATAAAGTAGGGATGAGAAAGTGATATGTGTATACACACACACATATATATATATACATAAATATATATACTGTATATAAATATATATACATACATATATATACATATGTATATATATAAATATATATTACATATGTGATATACTGTATAAATATATATACATACATACATATACATATGTAAATATATATACACACACATATATGTACATATATATCAACATGCAGTATATATCAACAGTATAGAAGACACTGATAACCATATATCATCGTTGCACTACCATGCTGATGTGGCAAATCCTGATTGGCCGAACGCTGAAAGCCTGGAACAATCAGCTCCTCAGGACAACGACTGGATGTGCGATCCATGCTCTCCTGCGAACAACAAAGGCAAAACACCTCAGAATTCTCACACAGGTCAAAGAGGTCAGACGAAAGGGTCGGTCGTGTCAACGTCTCGAGCGCCAGATCTTGAGGAACACCAGGTGTCAAGTTCACATACCAACCTGACCTTTGAACCCCTGCAGCGGTGACCTTCTCTCGCTCTGTCTCCTCGCCCCCCCTCCAAAACATGTATGCGCTCGCTGCGTAGACATACCGTGCGCACGCGTGTGTACGCTCTCGAGGTGAAGAACGTACCACACTCGTCTACGTGTTTAATCTTATACGTTTGGAGACGTGCGTTCGCCGCCAAGCCCTTCACACGTTGTCTAATTTAAAGCAGCCCAGAGGCAAGAAGGCTGCAGAGGAGAAAGGGAGGGAAAAGGGCCAAACACATTTTCAATCTCCCCTTTTCCAGGAAAAAGAGGAACGCGGAAGCATTGCTTCCAGGAACTGCTTGTGGTCAGAGGTCCTGTTGTGTGTGCGCGCGCAGACACACACGCACACGCACACACACACATTTTGAAAACATCCATAAATGCCCAGAGTAAGATTTAGAGCTCTGAGACGCGGCCAAAAGCTTTCTAAGGAAGGCCGCTTTCCTGCAAGGCTGTGGGCTGACAGAGAAGGTCTGCAAGCTTCAGCTCCGGCCAACTGAGCTAGAGAACAAAAAGTGATTTCCACCCTGCACACAACCAAAATCTAACCAGTTCCTCCATGGGCCAATGTCTAGCGCCGCAGATCTATTTTTTTTTTTGGAGTAACACTGCTTGCAAACACACAACCCCCCCCCCAAACAAAGACAAACAAACAGCAAAGTTCATGCAGGCGGTCAGGCTGTCAGAGATGCTGCCTGGTAGATTTTACCAAACAGTTACTCCCTTTCGAAAACGTCCTCCTGCCAGATACGGCCACGAGCTGAAAGGCTTCGGATACAATATGTCAGGAGATTAACGTGAATGAAACTAAATGGGAAAGAATAGCGACATGGATATGGTGTTCGAGACAAGATCGCAACGACGGACTATCACGAGGTGATGCGGCTTGAATGTAAGGGTGCGACTGTATGCGGCGGTCCTAGTTCAAGTAGAACACATCAAGTAGACGCACCGTTAATATATGGTGACAGGCAAACAGAGGGAGAGCCGTCTGCCTTCGACGGAACCTGGGTGGTAAATGGGACGGTTGCTCGTAAAACAAAGTTATTGTACTGTATTGTAACTTATTGTAACTACGCGCAATACACTTTCTCTGACCTTGCACTCTGACCAGAGTGACGCTGAACTCATCTTTCACACAGTAGGTTTATTGCAACACATCTCAACTCAAAGACAGGACTCTCTGTCTCTCTCTCTGCCTTGGTTTCGCAGTGAATGTATTTTCCAGATGTGGAGTGTTTTGCACAGTTCACTGAAACTGCCGATTGTCGTAAACAAGATTCTTGATCTTGATCTTGATCTTGACCTTTTGGAATTAGCGTCGTCATGACGTCGCATCTGAGTGGTGAACCCAACTGCAGTAACTCTAAACTCTTAATTTTGTCCAAAAAAAGAAGTCAAAACCTTACGAGAAAATAATTTATGAGATCAATTGGTAACCCTAACAGCAATTCGTATTCGCAACTCACGCATCGTGTTGCGTCCTGTCAAATGAATCCTCGATATCTGGTTGAGTTCGCGTTTCGCTCATCTCCCTACAGCACAAATTAGCAACACTTTCGTAAAAAAGAAGACAAAACATTACGAGAAAAGGTTATTAATTTATGAGATCAATTGGTAATCTTAGCAGTAATTCTTATTCGCAACTCGCGCATCGTGTTGAATCCTCGATGTCTGGTTGAGTTCGCATTTTTCTCATCTCCTACAGCACAAATTAGCAACACTTTCGACTTTTATCTAGTAAAAGTATGACTTTTTTCTTGTAACATTACGACCTCAATCTCATGAATTTACGACTTCAATCTCATTATTCTTTTAATTAAAAATACATGTTTTTATTGCACTTATTAGTTGCGGGGCATCTGAATCATGATATACTTTACTTGAATGTGCCACAGCTTTTGTCCACATTTGGCTTTGGGCGTTTCTCAGCGATCTACCTCCATGATTTGTGGCTGTTTTTATTCGCTCGTCGTCGTCACATATTCAGGTCAACCATCATCTATAGCATGCCACACTGACTCTGGAGCATAACTTAAAACCTGACGAAACACATCCCTTCCATTCCCGCAGCCTGCAGCGTTCCAGGGAACATTTCAGAGACCAGGATTCCTCGAAAGCACAAGCTACAGGCTATTTCTGACCCCCCTCAGTTCCCGAGAACAGAATGAACAAATTCCTCTTTATGTTCTTGGAACAAATGTTCCTGCCCTGATCTGTTGAACACCTTTGGTTCACATAAGTCGGGCCAAGCTTCGGGGTCTTGCGCACTGTGCTTTTTTTTTTTTTTTTTTTTGCTCAGCAGCTTTTGTCCGTGCACATTGGAAAACATCCTCGTTGCAGTACGTCCATTACTGAGAGGGAGGAGAACAGGGATGAAATGTGTTTGTGGCTGCTTTCACCGAGGCATCTTTGGCAAAGAACCATAGTTTTACTAAGACAGATAGACAGGAGTACACACACATATACACACACACACACTCTTCATAGAGTGCCTGGAATGGTGCCAAGATCTGCAAACATGCTTAGTGTTATGTAAGCAGGCAGAAAGTAGGGCTCATTTGGTTCTTATCTCTAAACTAAACCTTCAGTCACTGCTCGGAGACAGACTTCATGGTGTGGTGTGTGTTAGTGTTGCAGCCATGCTGTGTCATGTCATCTTACAAGCTTTACATAACAAACAAACACACACACACACACCAACACACACACAGCAGTGTTGTAACCCGCTTCTCTCCCTTTATTCCACAAACTGTTTTTTTTTTTCCCCTTTTAATGCAGAGTGGAGGAATCTTGTTTTCTATAGAGATTCAATTCACTATTCACTCGGGTCTCACTGGAGCAATAACCCTTGAATCCTGAAAGCTAACATGAACAGATCCAACTTCATGGCAGTTTCACAGGGCTCCGTGGTCCCACGGTTTGGGTCAGCGGGGGGAACTGCATTTTTGTACCTTCATTAAGAGGGATAAGGCAGCTGAGGCTACGTCACCTCCGTCATCCCCATCTCGCCCAGTGAGACATCACACGCTCATGCCCCGTGCTTTCATGTCCGTGTCTCGCAACAAAGCCCACGGCTTGTAATTGTCATTTGTTTTACGGCTCTATTTATAGACTACCACTGTGCTCTTTAGCCAAATTCTTTAGGTTACCCGATGGTTGGAGAGGAGAAAAATCCGAGCGGAAAACAAAGAGCTCATTCTACAGCAGTTGGACAGGGGAAGTGGGGTCTGTTGTGTTGCGGAGACGCCGTATTTCACCGTACTCTGCTAAGAGTCTTTCGCTCCGAGGAAAGTACATCGGCAAAGCGACCGTACACATGATAGTAATCGAAGACAAAACGGACAAACATAACTCCGAATTCTCTTAAACCTTTCCGTACTTTTGACTAACGACAGAAAGCAAATGTAGCGCAATGCTACGTTTAGCGCACAATCGTAGAATGTTAGCAAAGCCGTCTTCGGTGTATAGCACCGTACGACAACGTATTCTTCCACTGTGCTCGTCAACTAGTTCCTATGCAAAATTTGCAATACGTCTGAATGTTGGAAAAGACTTTCTTAATAAATTTATCGGAAATGGCGACTTAACAACAACACGCCGTAGGTCGAGGACGTCATAAACCGAGGACTCCCTGTATAAAATTTCTCTGTATCACCAGATTCAAGAAGACAAACCATTTATTTAGCAAATAGTTAGCAGCTAAATTAGCTTAACCCAAATTGTACCTTTACAGCTGTGTAAATTTGCTTTAAATCGTATACTTACAGTTCATCCACGCAGAGTATTAATGAACAATTTCGGAGAAACTGCGATGCCTGGATCTGCGATAACTCAGCCGAAGTAAACAAGTTAACGTCATGGCGGAAGAACGTCTCAAAATCTAAAGGTCAGTGTTAAATTGAGGCGCCCGCTCTTCTCTGGTTTATTTTTGCTTTTATTTTTGTTTGTCACCACGTCACCACGCACAACATTGTGGAGCCGCAGCTCCAACTTTATGTCTGGTTCTGTAAATGTTTACACGTCACTGGAACGGCCGAGTGTTTTTGGAGTAATTATCTAACAATATAAGTTACTCTTCTGCACTTCCTTCCTGACAGTTAGGAAAATAGAGAACAAAAAAAAACCAAGTCCATTAGCCCGGCATGAACCTTTTTGGTTTACTTGAAAATAAACAGTTTTCCTTTAAACAGTTCTGCGTGCCTTCATCTAGGCGGTGAACGACACCGTTATACAGTATTGAAACAAGGCATTTACCTGGTAGTTTGGGTGTCGTATGAAGTAGTCAGGACATCCCGCTAAGGCCATGTTGTTCCGTCAGTGTTCCCAGTGTCGGAGAGGACAACCACTGATTCCACCAGCACCCTGCACATAAAGTACAAAAGAGATTTTATAAAAAAAAACGATAACTGGAAAGTTCCCCTGTGAATATACTGGAAAATACAGGTGGTCCTCGGTTTTACAGCATCCTCGACTTGCAGCATTTTGTGGTTAAGTCGCCAGCTCCCATAAATTTATTAAGAAACTATCATTCCATCATTCTGACATACAGCTTCAAAACTCGCCAACGAGTTCACACAAGACGAAAGAAGCAAGCAGAATACATCATCATGCTACGCTAAACGCGCCGTACATTTTGCAACATTTGCTTTGAGTTCAGACTTGCAGCGAAAATCGAGTTAAATCACACCGTAGGAACAGAACTCTGACATATGTTGAGGACCCTCGGTGTAAAACATTTCCATGTAATAAACACGATCAGGTAAAAAAAAAAAAGTGATTTATATTTACAATTATTTAAGTAGACACTGCATAAAACTTAGAGTAACTTAGAGTGTTCTTACTTTAAAAAGCCATATAACAATCAAACAAAGGGCATGGATGTATGTGTACACACCAAATCCAATGTAAACACTATCTATTATGTACAAACAGCACATATACACACACGCACTTACACAAAGGGTGGTTAGCAAACAAAGCCTGAGGTTGAGAATTAAAAAAAAAAAAAAAATCAAACTCCAACCTCGTGTACATGTCAACTCTCTACCTGCAGACTGAGGAAGGAGGTAAAGGAGCGAAAGAGACGGCGGGAGTGAGAGAAAACCGAGATAGGAGTCGGCTATTTCCACCGTGCTGCGCTGCTTTATCTGCTCTGCGTAAGCGGGGCGGGGCGGAGGGGGGGAGGGTTGTCCTCGAGTGTGTGATAGTAAGCAAGTATACACACGAACACACTGCAGTATCGATCCCGAGTTGCATTTCGCCTTTGCCTGATTCAGAAAGACACTCTGGAGTTGTTGGACGTATTTGTAGCTGCACCCCCCCACCCCACCCCACCCCCCATTTCAAACTGTGTAATGTGAAGATAAATGGGCTCCATGGATATGGAGCAATTATGTCATTCCCTTTTTTTTTATTTTATTATTTTGCTTGGAAATCTATTCCGACCAAAAAATCCTACCTCAGCCTGTTGGCGAGAATGTCCAGATGGTGAACATTTTCAACCATGAAAAACCGAACCGATCAGTCCATTGAATAACTCCCATCTGCCCACCCACTGTCACTGGGAGATGTCAGACGGCCAGGAGAAGTTATTTCAAATTCGATTATTTCTACAGCTTACGTCCAAGTTTCAGAGAAAGGCTGCTACAAAGGGTTCTTTTTTTTTTTCTTTTTTAACAAACTGAACTGTATTGTATTTCCACCCAATAGATCACCCCCCCCCCTCTCCTAGTTTGTCCGAGCTTTCTTTCCGAGACTGTGTTCATTGTACGAGTCATTATGTAACAGATATCAGATCGTTCAAACAATATCTCTTCCTCCTTTCCCTCTTCCTCCTCCTCTCCCTCTCTTTTCACCCCACTAATTACTGTTTCCACTGGGGCTCTGCTATCTTTAGTTTGCTCTGCTGAGTGCTGACTGTGAATGTGTGTTTAAATGTGTGTGCAAGGGCATGTGTGTGTGTGTGTGTGTGTGTGCACTTGTAGACAGCCTCTTCACTGCTGGTAATTGCACGCATTTTCCCTCCTAGTTTTATATCTCACATTTTCCTGCACGGGCTTATGAGACTCCGCACCAATCAGCGAGCCGGGCACAGGCAAGGCATATCATATGTGTGGTTAATAAGCCCGGAAGCAAAGCCAAATCTCCGAGTGCTTGACATTTGCTGACATTTGTGGTTACTCCTGCGGAGAATGGGAGTAATTCAGCTTTACTGGTCGTACGAGGAGATCTGGAGAATTAAATGGAGCAGGGAGCAACTTAATAATGCCACGTGTGTGTGTGTGTGTGTGTGTGTGTATGCGTTTGTGTGCGGGTACACAGACGTCTACCTCCGCACCTGTAGAAATGGGCTCAGATGCTAACAAGAGCATTAATCAATATGCTTTTAGCAGTTAATTACAAACTGTTTTCTTTTTTTTTTCTTTTGCCTAGAAGAAACAGGAAGTAGCAGTACATATATATATCTTTACCTTGAAATTTCCACCTCTAGAAATTCCCAAAAAGACAGTATGTAAGAACTGAGTTTGCAGACGTTCCCTAAGAATCGTCCGGCACATTCTTAATCAGAACACGATGTCCAGTTTATAAATAACAAACACACATTCAGGGATGGAGAAATAACAATCGTTGTATACATGGGAGATAAACATGCAATAGTGTATATAGACCTATATACAAATTAGGATTCTTCTGGAACCAACAGAACATTCCCATTGTTTACAGACATCCCCAAACATTTTCTGAAGGGACCCCTTCTGTAGAGCCCACCCAAGGTCAACACATTCACAGCTTTTGCTTCAAAATGTAATTTAAAAAAATGCAATTCCCTTAATATTAGTATTCGTGTTGACTAAAGTAAATGTATTCTTACTATGGAGCAATTTTTTTTAAAAAAATCTGAAATTGAGATTAATATGGCTTGCTTTAAAGCTCTTGCGGGGGAGGGGTGTGCACCACAGCTCTGTTCCCCGACAGGGGACTGCCCCTCACTTTAAGAACCGCCTTATGTACTTTATACATTGCAATAAAAGCAAAAAAGAACATGCAACATATAACCGTCATTAGTCTTAGTCACAACTGCTGAAACCTAAAGACGGGCAGTCATGTCAGAAACAATTGTGACGTCATTTAATTAACGCGCTGTTTGATACCTGGGAAGGTTCTGGAATAATGGCTACTGCGGCCATTTAAATTCCCGTGTCAAAAGTTACCCTGTTTGTTTTTAAATAATAAAAATATTCCATACGTTATCGCTACGATATTTCCAAAGTGAACACAACGGTGTTTGTAAGTAGAAAATGACGTCGCCGTAGTTGCTGACCAACGTAATCCCAACAACATCACATCAACACTGTTAGCATAGAACGGAGTTCTAATTTTTTCAACACAACTTTTCATGGAACGGTGAGCTGGGTTACCTGCAGCACGCGTGCAGTGAAATGATTTTTTGGGGGTTTTCTTGTGTAGAATCAAAAACAAGTCGGTGTCACCTGTGGAAATAAAACACAAAATGTGGTCAGAAGCTTAAAACAGCATGCCTTTTTTTTTACTTGCATCACTGTCCACTAACACTATGAATAAAAGGCTTAATATACAGAGTCTGACCGTGTTCGTTCCGAGTGAGCAGGAGGAGCTCCAATAAAAAAAAAAACACACAGCCGAGTCTCTATGGTAATGAGAGCAGCTCTGGAGCAGCCGGCGCGCTTCGACTGTCCACGTCTGGACGGTCCACGCAGAAGTGTCTTAACCCACAGCACCGAAAACACCCCCACCCACCCCGACAAAACTGAACCCTCCGCACTTTGTAGTCTTCACCTTGTCCCCCCGCCGCCGCCCCCTCTCACACATACGCACTCGCACTCACGCACACACACAAATAAGGACGCGCACTCACATTTGCACACGTCCATACGTACTTCTCTCTCACACTGCTCCTTTAGACCAGCTGACATATCTCTCTCTCCCTCCCTCTCTCTCTCTCTCTCTCTCTCCCTCTCTCGCTCTCTCTGTCATCTATCTCTATCTCCGCGCCCCGCCCTTTTTACAACAGGACACTGAAAGAAATGACGAGTCTCCTCCTTGTTTTCTCAAAGTTTTAAAGTAAAAGTTTTAAATAAATCATCCGAAATTCGACGAACTCACATTTATGATACGCGAGTGACTGCCTTAACGACATCTAAATTGCTAATTTGTTGTCCCGAAACCTGGCGGAAGTTTAATTTTGAACTTTCGTGATATAAATTTTTTGCAGTGTGCTGTAGACCTAACTTTAACCCTTCGTACAGACCGAGGCCTCAACATGCCTCAGCTCTGGGGTGACAGCCGCTAATGTCATGCCATCCGTCGTGACTGCTGAACACGTATATTTACAGTACATATATATATAAAGAACATAGACAGTACATGTATGCCAAGCATATATGTACGCATACTGTACATGTTTACTTGCTGTGTACAGCTACGGAGAAGCAATTTTTTTTGCTATGTTCCTCAGTTTTGACAGTTTCACGGTTCAGGACATTTTCAGTTTTGCGTCACAAAAAAAATTGTAATTTATTAACAAATGACATAAGGTAATATATACATAATAAATATATATTCTATTTATAGATATTATATGTACATATATGTATTTATTTATTTATTATCGTATACTGTGTACCAAGTTTAGTTGACATCAACTAGTCGCTTATGACATTACCAGGTGTAAGTAGTAATTGAATTGGGAGATAGGGGTAGAAAAAAACTTCTTTCCCTTAGGTGGGGCATAACTTCCTTAACCACCGCTATGTTATCGTATGTTATGTATCGTTTAATATCGGAAATTAAGTGTTTAGGCAAAATCAGCATATTGGATATCGGCAAAAAGTGAATATCGGACATCCTTAGTTATTATTGTACTGTAAGTAAGCAAGTTAGACATTTGTTTGATATCGTTGCGGTCTTTGCTTCAAAACCATGACTTCCAACGTGTGTTTTAAGAATTACAGCACGAGCATTTGAGGGATGAGACCCTCGAGCACTTCAAAGCAGCGTTGCCTTCTAAAGCCAACAGTAAGCCAAGCGTCTGTCTTATCTGCTGACCACACGGTCCTACTGCTCTGTTTGTTTTCGCTCCAAGTTAACATGCAATAGAGTTATGTAAGGCACAGTAGAAACAGCTTGATGTTTTCCATCTGCGTAGTCGTAAATCACACGAACGTACGCTGTGTTTTGAAAACAAAGAGTGAGCATGGCTGCTCCATTAAAATCCCACTGACCTTTGTTGGGAACTAGATCGGCATTACAGATGTGGTGGAATCCGAGTCTCTCCAGGCCTTAGGAGGTCAGTTTGGTCACACAACATGCAACACTACTCACACCACCATGGGTCCAAATTGTCTTCAGTTGTAAATACAATGTATAGTGTGTTTAAATGAGATGTTTAAACTGGTTTGCTGTGTCCTCCTTTAATTTTGTTGTGAATATCTAACATCCTTGTTGTGTTCTCTGTAATACACAAAAACCTGGAAGCAGCCACGTGGAACTGGGTCACCCTGACTGTGTTTGTTTCTCTGCTGTTGTACAACTTGTGTGCTTGTGTCACGTTTGATAGATGATACGTTCCTGTGTGGGTCTGTGTTGTCAAAGTGTCCTTGGTTGTGCGGTCCAAGAACAGTTGTCAAAATAATGTATTAATGTTTTTTTTAAAGTTCACTCCTTAGTATAAACCAGAGTTGTCAAACTCATTTTGGTTCAATATTTGAAAGAACATCAATTACATGCAGTGTTTGTGCATTTTTTTCCACTTAAAACATTCCTCATGCGGGCTGAATTGAACACCTTAGTGGACTGGCTTTGGCCCACGGGCCATATCTCTGGCAACCCTAGTCTAAATAGTGCTATATCTACAATTACGAAATATTGCGGCGGTAACAATGGTTAGGAGAAGTGACTAAGATAATTGTCATATGTATTATTTATTACCTCGATTCATATTATAAATAGACTGAATCAAACTTTAGAGGATAAACTGAAGCGTCCTCAGAAATCAGCTGTGGTTGTTTATGAGGACAAAGGTTTCAAAACGTCTGGATAGTAAAATAAAATCTGGTGCAGATGTTAAGATTCCCTCCCAGGGTGAATTCTAATCATGATCGTCATTAACTGACCCGACCTCTAGTGATATTATTGTTTTTGACATACTTTGGAGAGCATGGAGGTATTGTATGTCCTTATGCGAGAGAGGTAAAGATACAGATGTCTGTGCAATGAGACAGTGTTTGCACAGTAGTCGTGGCATCCAAGATCAACATGTGAATATATAACATTTTAACATTCCCCAGAATGTTAGGCTTCAATTTAAAGTTGAGTTTTATTCAAATGGAAAGAATGATTGGAAAGCTAAACATCTTCAAACTATTCAACAATGTGTCGCCTGGAAGTGAATGTGGTACGTTTGCTGTTTTTGGTCCATGATGGGACCTAATTTTATCAGTTTGAGACACTGAGGTTGGACACACAAAATCAGAGCATCCTGGTTTCAAATACTCTAGTATTATCCTTTAGTCTAGGGGTCCCCAACTCCTGGTCTGGGGACCGGTACCGGTCCGTAGGTCATTTTGCACCGGGTAACAGTGGGGCAGAGTGAAAAAATGTACTTCAGTTTTACTAATTTACGTCATTCCAAAGGACTCCAGTCATATCCCTTTACTTTCCCTTTAAATGTATCAAAACAATAGGTCATTTGGACTCCGATACTAACAGAATTAAAGATGTTTTATTTTGAAAATTTAATGATCCTTCAACAATGGCTGATACCGGCCGACCAGTCCTTGGTACAAAAAGGTTGGAGAGTGCTAATTTAGCTCATGAGGCTTAACCCTAGCAATTACATCGATCAACTACAGGAAGTAGTTGATTGCAGACATTCTTTCATAATCTTGCTATAAGAAAAAAAAATCCCAACATCAGTTGTAGTCTAAGACAAAAAAAGAATTTTTAAATATATGTCATTCTACAGCAAGGCAAGGCTAAGCTAAGCCCAATAGCCATAGCCCTGCATCTTATTACATTATTATTACATTAGTTTTACCTTTTACAAGTAAATATTTACATTTAGACAAAGCAACAGAAAGAAATGTTATGATTGTATGGGCTTTGTTGAAAGGAAACACTGTCCCTCTAACAAGAGATTATAGGATTATATTTAGCGCTTCAATCGTATTAACTGTTTAGAACACAATGTTTGAATTCAGAGATTTTTGCTATTTTAAACCGAGAGCTAAGCAACACCCGCCTCACCACACGTTGTATGACCCAAGCATTTAAGACAAATCTACCTCACCACACGTATGACCCAAGCATTTAAGACAAATCTCGAACATTATTTTTTTGATGATAGCGTTGATGGTTAACACTACTCAACATAAAAATAATCTGTTTCATATGCACTCTGCATGTGTCTGAAATGTATGCTGGCCCCATCTACCCTCCGAAGTTGCTTAAAGTAAGGGGTAGGAGATCAAAGTCAAAGCTGTAGATTAATCCTCATACCTCTAATCCACTAATAAAAGAGCATTCCTTTCATTCCGGCTGTAGGGTACGTCAGTACCAATGAACCTCAGTTTACCCCGTCTACAGTATGCATAACACATTAAGTTTCCCCCGAAATCATTAACTATTATTAGACCCCACGGACTTTCACATGTCGTCTTTGACCGGTTCTCAATGGACTCTGTCTTCTGCAGGTGTTAGATGCTAACGGGGGTTAAGGTGCTAAAGGTGCTAAAGGTGCCGAGATGATATGTGTGTCCTAGAAACAATCACTTGGTACGACGATCATCTACATCCACTTTTGGCAACAAATCAATCAAAATGTATAAGCATAGACATGGGCAAACTAAGGCCGGTGCGGCCCGTTTAATTTTTTAATCCGGCCCGCAAAACGTATATAACTTATTTATATTATCATTATACTTCTGCCTTTTCCCTGCAATACCCATGTTTCCCCAATAGATGGCATAGAATATGATAAAAGCATTTTAGCCTTTATGCATGGCTTTTAAATGTCATTTATCATAGTTTGTGATCTCACTTTTGTCAAAACACCTGCGCTGTTGCCAGGCAGATGTTTGGGCTTAATGCCCCCCACTGTACCTTTCCATCGCCCTCTGTAGGCCACTGGAACAAAGCACTGAGAAAGTAGGGAACATGACTTCTTTTTCAATAGCGGGAGAATAGAAGTGGAATGTTCTTCCTCCACCTGCGAGTCTTTTCACTATGCACAGTAGAGAGAGAAGAAAAGGGAACTCAGGCAATAATCATTTGAGGAATTTAATTTAGCCGCAGCTAAATCACTTGGAATGTTTGCATTGCACCTCAGAAATTGAACCTGTAGCAGCAGAAACAGCGTGGCAGGGCCTTTCATCATAAATGAAGCAAACGATTCTCAGACTAGGACGACGAAAAGGCCACTCGAGAGAAGAGAGAGGAAACAGCAAACACACTGTTAGTGATGAAATTATTTTTACTAAAATTATACATATATATATTCCATATACATATATGTGTCATATATACATATATATGTGTGTATAGATGTATGTATATTTGTATGTAGGTGCATATAGGTATACAGGTGTAAAACACATACATCTACCTACCTTATTTGTCTTTCTTTGCCAGGAATATATTAAAAAATATATTTGCCACTGACAGACCTAATATACTGTATACATGTATATATGTGCACGCATATATAGGTATATATATTCACATATATGTAAATATATATGTGTATATGTATATATACACATGTAGAAATATATATTTGTATATATATATACATATATAAATATATGTGTATAAGTATATATATATACATACATATGTAAATATATATTCAACAAACCCACTATATATATGTATATATATAATGTTCTATGTTATAAAGGGACTCCAATATAGTGATCTGATATAGTGGAAACAAACAACTAATCCCAC